CATTCCCTTCTAACATTGATGGTGTTACCTAGTTGGGTCATGAAACGTCTGCAAGGAAACCATCAAGCTCAGAGAGAACCAAGGATCCCACAGACCAGCAGATAGATATTAAAACTGAAAGGTGGAAAAAGATCTAGTGATCTAGTCTGCCCTTTGAGGGGTTTTAATTTTTTTTAGAGGTAATCCTCGACTTACAACAGTTCATTTAGTGTCCGTTCAAACTTACAACGGCACTGAAAAAAAAATGTGACTTTTGACCGGTTTTCAAAGTTATAACCTTTGCAGCCTCCCCACCTGAGCAAAATACAGATGCTTGGAAACTGACTCATATTTACGACGGTGGCCATGTCCCGGGGTGATGTGATCCCTTTTTTTGCGACCTCCTAACAAGCAAAGCCAATGGGGAAGCCAGATTCACTTAACGGTGTGACTCGCCTAACAAATGCAACGATTCACTTAACAACTCTCGCAAGTCATAAAATTGGGGCAAACTGCCTTAAGGAACGTTTCACTTAGCAATCTAAATTTGGGGCTCAGTTGTGGTCGTAACTAGAAGAATACCTGTATTTTATTTTTATTTTTTTAATTATGTCATCGGATAAGGGACATGTATTTATCCCAAGGATGTTTAAACTCAGTGAGGGATGACCCACCCATTGCCTCCGCTGGAGGTTGAAGGAAGAGAAAACAGCTTGTAAAAATCATCCTTGACTACCATCCGGTCAGCTGACACCTTCTTGGTGCTTCATTGCTAAGCGGTGACAAACTGCCATGAGCTGTGGGGGAAGATGTCAACTCATAAAACATTTCTATGGTCTTTTTAGAGCTGCCAACAGAACGAGGAGGGGGGAGCAGTGCAGCAGTTTGCAAACCGAAACTGCATTCCATAAATGTTTTCAAAGATAGCCACCAGATGAGCGAAGTTCTAACATTCTAACATTCTAACTGGAGAGCATGACTGATGACTCTGGGCTATGGAGGTGTCCCATTGGAGGATATGAATTACGATACATCCAGGGGTGGCGGGGAAAACCAGGGTCAAAGGTGATAATGAATGAATGTGTCTCAGAGTCGGCTACCCCCAGGCAGTGCCGGTACATGTTAACTCCCAATAAATCCTTTTGAAGTTTTGGAAGTTTGGCTCGAGACTCCTGATTTAAATGGGGAGGTAGCTGCCGGAATCCTGACAAAAGGAGGGAATGCTTGGGAAGCGAAAGTAAGCGCTGTATCTCCTTTAGAAGCTGCCTCAAGGTCAACCAGCTGGAAGGAGGGGCCGCATGCTAAACTGCATTTGGACTAGCCCAGGGGCCGGCAACCTTAAACACTCAAAAGAGCCACAAAGGTCCTAACCAGAAGCCCCCCCTTCAATTCTGGAGCAGACCAGACTCTATGGCGGTTCCCCCCACCATAGAGTCTCCTCCTAGAGTGGTGTTCCTTTTCCCTCTACCTGTCCTAGCCAAAAGCCCTATCAATTATGGAACCCACCAGCAACAGGAAGCCGTAGCAGAGGGTTGAAAGAGCCGCATGCGGCTCCAGAGCTGCAGGTTGCCTATCCCTGGACTAACCGTTAGAAAAAATTTCTTGCCTGAAGTTTCCAAGTTTCCACTACTCTTCCTGCGAAGTTCGACTTTCTGACCTCATTCTCCCCTATTTCTCAGCGCCTATTCTCATCACGACCTTAAAGAGGTCTTCTCCGGAATTCAGAAAGTGCCCTTTGCTAACCGCTTTCCAGAAAAAGACTGAAGTCCTCCAGAGTAGATGACATTGGAGTTTTTTTTTACTACGAAGCCCCCTGTTTTATTTTTTGGGGTCGATTATTTATTATGATGATTATTCGGAGATAGGAATTGAAGGACCTCACCTTCAGGTCGAAATGGGCGATGTGTTTGGAGTGGAGGTAATAGACCCCATCCAGAATCTGCTTCAGGAACTGGGTGGCCTCTTCCTCCGTCAGGGATTCCTTCTCCGCCAGGAAATCAAACAGCTCCCCGCCAGAGACCAGTTCCAGAATCAGCACCACGTCCGTCTTGTTCTCAAAAATGTCGTGGAGGGTGATGATGTTGGGGTGTTGGATCTCCCGGAGGATGTTGACTTCCCGCTGGATCTCTTCACGGCTCACCCCTCGGCGGCTGGACGACAGGCGCCGTTTCTTGATGAATTTCGCCGCGTATTCCAGGCCCGTTTTCTTCTCGCGGCACTTCCGCACGATCGCGAACTGGCCGCTGGAAACCAAAGGAAGAGAAACGGCTTGTTAAAATCATCCTTGACTTACAGCCTGTTGTGACCCGGGCCATGGCACAAAGGTAATGTGATGACCCAAAGGGGTGTGGCACAAAGGCAACACAGTCAGATAATCAGTAGAAATCCCTTTATTAGCTCCAACTTTGCCCCCAATGTCCTGGTTACCTTCTGGGCTGGAGAAAAACTCTCCCAGGAACAGCCTTTGGCTGCAGAGAATCAAGTACAAAACATGGTCAACAAAAATTGTAACTATAAGTCCAATCAAGGCAAGATGAGGTAATTAGCCTGGCAGGGCAGGAGAAGGAATTCCAGAAGTGAAGGAACAGCAGTAAGTCAACCCAGTTGGGAGGATGTCAGGAACGCAAATAACCGCAGTCAACACAAACTCATGTTTGTTCCCAGAAGAGGCCACACTCAGCTTGCATTTCTTTTAAACTCTCATTCCCAGGTGTGGCTAATGAAGGGAATCAGGGCCCTTTCCTCCCCTATAAGCCATGAAACCCACGTTGCTCCCTTCTCCATTCCTCCCCGCGTGCCCTAGGATGAAAAGAGGGGATGGGCCTGGGTCTTCCTCTGAACTCTCTCTCCCTTGTTCTACCTCTCCCCTGCTCTGCCCAGCCGGACTTTGCCCTTCCCCAGTTTCCTCCACAGACAAACGGAGCCACACTCTCACTCCCTGTCAGCTGTTCGGCTTCCTCCTCGGATTCAGACTCCGACAGGCGCATGACAGGTGACCCAGGCAGCTGGCAGTTCAAACCGGCCTTTTATGGCTCCAAATTTCCCCAAACGCTCCCATGTTTCTGGCAAGTCCCAGAGCAACGTGATGACAAACACACACACACACACACACACACACATACCCCTCAAGCAGCCGCTGGCTGCAAATAGTCCAGCCCAATGCTGTAAGCACCACGGCTACAGCGAGAAATCCAGCAGGGCAAGTCAAGTCCAGAAATCAAAGGAACGAGGCCAATATCCAGAATTCCAGAAAGAATGCAAGGAATTCAGGGAAGTTCAAACGTCGGCACTCAACACTCCATGAATTCAGCGTTTGTTCCTGACAAATGCCCCTCCCCACAGCGTCTCCTTCAGTCTCAGTCCCCAGGTGTGCCTTGTGAAGAGGGGTGGGGCGCTCTCCTCCCGAGTAGTCAAGTCAGTCTGCGCTGACAGGTAGTCCTTGGTTTATGACCATTCATTTAATGACGGTTTGAATTTACGACAGCCTCGGACAAATAGGTTTCAGAATCACCTTCATAAAAGCAATCTCGAATGCCAGCAACAGAGCAGCTAAGGAAGACTGCAGGTAGTCCTCGATTTACGACCACAGCTGAGCCCAGGATTTCCGTTGCTAAGTGAGACAGTTGTTCAAGTGAGCTTTGCCCCATTTTTGCAACCTTTCGGCCCACTATTGTTAAGTGAATCACTGCCAGTCTCATGTTAGTAACATGGTCGTTAAGTGAATCCGGCTTCCTCATTAACTTTGCTTGTCAGAAGGTCACAAAAGGGGATGGCATGACTCCGGGATACTGTAACTGTCATAACGGCGAGTCATTGCCAAGCACCTGAATTCTGATCACACGACTGCAGGAGACCGGCTGTGACGGTCGTTAAGTGTGAAAAACAGCCGTAAGTCACTGTTCAAACAGTTACTAAAAGAACTGCTATAAATTGAGGACTACCTAAGTTGCCTTCCAACACTTTGGCATTTGGGGAATTTGCAAATTCTTTTGTTATATTCTCCTGTCAGGATTCCAAGGGATCCATTAACTTTCTAATTAGTGTCCCTTTTTAGCTCCAGCTCAAAAGATTCTTAAAGATCCCTGTCATCCTTTTTTTCCTGAACTATTACCATCTGGCAGACGGTACAGGATAATAAAAACAAGGATAAATAGGCTGAAAAAGAGCTTCTATCCCAGCGTAGTAACTCTACTGAATTTTACTGTATAGGTAAAAATAAAGATTCCCCTCGCACATACATGCTAGTCATTTCCGGCTCTAGGGAACCATTACAAAGCCGAAGAAGAGCCGGCGCTGTCCGAAGACGTCTCCGTGGTCATGTGGGAAAATGCCGAAAGGCGCACGGAACGCTGTTCCCTTCCCACCAAAGGGGGTCCCTATTTTCCTACTTGCATTTTTTAACACGCTTTCGAACCGCTAGGTTGGCAGAAGCTGAGACAAGTCACGGGAGCTCACTCCGTGACGCGGTGCCGGGGATTCAAACCGCCAAACTGCTGACCTTTCTGATCGACAAGCTCAGCGTCTTCGCCCCTGAGCCACCGCGTCCATCTATTCTACTGTATAATGCAATATTAATGCAGTATTCCATTCAATTGTATAGAACGCGAAGGATGTGCGTCTGTTTTACTTTTTACTTTTACTTTTTACAGTCATAATGCACACCGAGGATGCAATGACAATAAAAGCAAACGAAATCAGAGGCAAGGAGCCCATCAACCTCACGCTTCCTCGTTTTGTGACAAGAAAACTCACCCAGAGACATAGCGTAAAGCGGGCAAACCCCTTTGGAGGAAGCTGCAGAGGCAACGGGGGGACATTTATTTAACGTTAAATAAATTTTATTACATTTTTCACAAAATACAAACCTCATTCACGTTTGTGACCAAGTTTTGGCATCGACAAATGTGTGTGTGTGTGTGTGTGTGTTACAGTTGTGTTACAGGTGTGTTATAGAACAATGATATACATCATTGTTCTATACATCAACAAGTATCTACATCTTATTTATTAAAGGTATCTATAATTATAGATATCTATAATCTTATCTTATATACCTCATTGTCTGTATGTCTACAGTAATATTCTCTTAAGATCTCTTGTTTTAATTACATTAATCCATTCTTCCTATTTTTAATATCTATTCTCTAACCGTTCATACCATTTGTCCCCTATTATGTAGTATTCAGAGTTCTCTTTCATTTCTAACGTGAGCGTGTCTATTTCCACACATTCCAATATTTTGTGCATAACTCGGTCTTCTGAGGGGATATTGACTCCTTCATTTGTGCAAAAGCTATTCTGGATATGTACAATAATATATTTTATCTTTTTTGGATATTACTCTGTAATTATTCCTAAGAGGAAGAGTCCCGGTTTGAATTCAATTTGATATTTAGTGAACTCTTGAAGCCAATTTTTTATTTTTTTATTTTAATCCAGTATTTCCTGGTCTCAGCATGGGGGACATTTAAAGATGGGCTGTTATTTACATTTTTCGACGGTGAGATCATGCCGGCTGGCTGGCTGCGTGGGGGTTTCCATATAAGGTTGTTTGTAGCTACACAACCCCCTCCGAATAGAAATTCCACACTCCTTTCAGCTCCGTAACCAGCAGGAAATAGAAATAACTCGACGGCAACTAATGCTCGATTCCTTCATTTTTTTTAAGGAAAAGAGCTTCGGTTGGAAATACAGGCCGTGTTCCAACTTACGACCACCGTCAAAGCCAGAATCCTCGACTTACGGCAATGGAGACCAGAATTTCCATCATTAAGTGAGAGGGGTGTTAAGCCTCATTTTACAAGCTCTTTCTTGCCATATTTCGTTAAGGGAATCCCCTCAGTCATTAAACGAGTCATACCGTTGTTAAGCAAATCGGGCTTCCCCGTTGACTTTGCTTGTCGGGGATTATGACGGGGCCCCGGGACATGTCATAAATAGGAGTCGGTTGCCAGGCGTTCTGAATTTTGATCACCTGACCGCCATGGGCTCTTCCTTCAGCCGCGGGATACAGGTGGTCCTCGACTTACGACCACAACGGAGCCCAAAAAGTTTATGTTGCTAAGTGAGACGGTTATGAAAGTGAGTTGTGCCCCATTTTACGAAATTCCTTGCCACCACTGTGAAGCACATTGCTGAAGTTGTTAAACGAGGAACACAGTCATTAAGCGAATCTGGCTTCCCTCCGTTGATGTTGCTTGTCGGACGGTCGCCAAAGGGGAATCCCGCGAGCCCATTACACAGTAACCGTCGTAAATACCAAGCATCTTGAATTTTGAGCACGTGCCGCAAGGGTCGTAAGTGTGGAACATGGCCGCAAGTCACGTTTTTTTCAGAACCTAAACAAACGGACGTAAGTCGAGGAACTCAGAATTTACTTCCCCCTCAGCTGGAGAAAGATTTCGCAGCCTCTCGAACCCGAAATTGTGACAGTGACAGTTGTTCCTCACAACAGGAACAAGGACGAAATCTCAGCCCCAACGAACCCTCTTTCCCACACTACTTAGGAAAGAGTGTGTCTCACCCCACTGGGTGACACAACAATGACTCACGCGGGGTGTGTACGTCACACAATTTTTGCCTGCTGTGAACTGCATGCTAAAATAAGCCACTTCCCTCAGCCAGCCAAACCTTTTAACTTAAAGAGATTTTATTAGGAAATTATAGCTGGCAAAGGCTTGTTTACTGGGCTTTCTTGAGAAGTATATATGGCTGTCCTCGACTTACAGCTGTTCCGTTTAGTGGCCACTTGTGAAGAGACAACGGTGCAAAGAAAAATGTGGCTTGTTTTGACGGGTGTTTCACCCTCTTCGTGGTTGTGTGATCAAAATTGGGGTGTTTGGAGTGTATTTGGCGTAGGGTTTCCTGTCTAAGCAGGGGGTTAGACTAGAAGACCTCTGAGGCCCCTTCCAACTCTGCTATTCTATCCTATTCTTATTATTCTATTTTTCTATTCTATTTATTTCTATTTCTATTATTTCTAATTTGTTCTCTATTCTCTCCTCTTCTAATTCTTATTATTCTATTCTATTTATTTCTATTATTTCTAATTCTTCTCTCTTCTCTTCTAATTCTTATTCTATTATTCTATTCTATTTACTTCTATTTCTATTATTTCTAATTCTTTCTCTATTCTTTCTCTGTTCTATTCTAATTCTAATTCTAATAATTCTAATTCTATCCTATCCTATTCTATTCCTGTCCTTGGGTCATATAATCCCCATCTGTCACCTTCCTAGCTGGCTTCTGATCGGGGGGGGGGGGGGGGGAGTCAGATTCACTTAATGACCAAATGATTTACTTAACAACTGAAGCAATTCACTTAACAACAGTGATCATAAAACAGGGCAAAACTCACGGAAAAACGATCTTGTTCAGCAATTGGAGATTTTGTGCCGAGATTGTCCCTTGTCTGAAACGTTATGGGGGTCTCCTTTCTTGAAGCAGGGGGTCGGACTAGAAGACCTCCAAGGTCCCTTCCAGCTCTGATTCTGCTTAATTGAGGTTGTATGTTGAGGACTACTTTGTCAATGAAATCACGGCCAGCATTTTCAGAGTTTATCCCAAAAAAATCTCTTTTAAGTTTTATGACTTACATCCAATCCTTCCCCCGCCCACACACAGTAAAATCATTTATCATCCATTTGGAGTTACAACAGGGTTGGAAAAGGTGACTTATGACTGGTCCTCGCACTTATGACCAGTGCAGCACGTGATCAATATTGGAGCGCTTAGCAACCGGTATTGTTTACAATGGTTACGACATCCATTTGGGACCTTCCCTTTCGGCTTCCAATAAGCAAAGTCGATTGTGGAAGCAAGGTTCACTTAACGACCATGTGTTACTCTCAACAACTGCAGCCAGTCTCTATTAACCACAGCAAAGAAGTTGCAGACATCAGCAGGACTCGCTTAACGGCTGCCAAAATTCAGTGTGACTTGCTTAACAACGGTCAAAATTCAGTGTAACTCGCTAAAGCTGCCAAAAATCAGTCTGACTCACTTAACAACGGCCAAAATTCAGTGTGCCTTGCTTAACAACCACCAAAATTCAGTGTGACTCGCTTAACAGCTGCCACAATTCAGTCTGACTCACTTAACAACGGGAAAAATTCAGTGTGACTTGCTAAACAATTGACAAAATTCAATGAGGAAGCCAGATTCACTAACAACCGTGGGACTAATGTTAACAGCTGCAGGGATTCGCATAACAACAGTGGAAAGAAAAGTCACAAAACGGTACAAAACTCACTAAACAAATGTCTCACTTTAGCAACAGAAATTTGGGACTCAATTGCAGTCGTAAATTGAGACTACCTGAATTTTACTTTTACTTTTTATTTGCTTTTGTGTCATCAATCATTTTTGGCTGATGGGAAAACAGTTTTTAAAAAATACATCTCAAAGATTACAGATTAACAGAGTTGGAAGGGACCTTGTAGGTCATCTAGTCCAACCCCGCTCCGCACCCAATCTCAGCTTGAAAGGAACTGGCAGCCGAGAGTTTATGTTTAACATGAAATGAATTTAAGAATCCACAAAGTTTCTTGGGCTTCTTTTTTTAAAAAGCTGGTGGAAAAAGCAGCGTTTTTCAAGATCTGCCTTCTAGTTCAATGGCCCAGCAATTCATTTACTTCCATTAGCTTGTCTTTAAAACCAGACAAAAGGAGGATTATACGCATTAAATGCCTAGGTTTGTATTCCCACACCCCAAAAGTTTGATATTTTTGATGACTGCGCATGGATGTGTAATCCTTGGTATAAATCAGGTGTGGTTTTTGTCACTGCCAATCTGGTACATCAGGTTTAATAATCCTGGGAATAATCCAGAACATCTTAAATTTTCCCGAAATGAATTAAGATTAAAATCAAATGAACCGAGATCAAATCTCGTTGAGGTCCCGGGACATGAGCAGCGCTTTGTAACGCCTGAGTAAAGCCACACCTGGAATAACTGCATCCGTTTTTGGTCACAATACAAAAATGATGTTGAGACTTTTAGGAGAAAGTGCAAAGAAGAGCAATTAAGATGCTTAAAGACCCGGAGACAAAAATATACGAAGAATGTTTGCAGGATTTGGTTTTGTCCAGTCTAAAGAAAAAGAAGGACTAGGAGGGACATGATAGCATCTTCCAAAAATTTGAGGGGCCAACACAAAGAAGAGAGGTTCAATTTATTTTTCAAAACACCGAGAAACAACGGTTGGAACGAAGGAGGAAAATTCCTAACAGGGAGGACAATTAACCAGTGGAACTGCTTGCCACTAGGAGTTGTGAATGCACCAACACTGGAGGCTTTTAAGAAGAGACTGGACAGTCACTTGTCTGAAATGGTCCAGGGCCGTGATGACGAACCTATGGCACGTGTGCCACAGGTGGCACGCAAGCTGCAGGCAAACTTACCTCACTACGCATGCACGCGCCTCACAGCTGATTTTTGGCTGGTTTGAGGCCTTTTGCGGCCTCCCAGAGGCTCGAGGGAAGCTCTGCAGCCTTTAGAGGCCGAAAAAAAGGCCCGTTTCATCACTTCCTGTATTTCCGGGGCCTATTAATCGGCCTGCGGAGGCTTTTTACAAGCCTCTGGGAGGCTGAATAAGGCCTCAAATCAACCTAAAATCAGCTGTGAGGCACAGTGCAGGTAAAGGGGGGCGGTGGTGCGATTGCACACGCATGTGCAGGGGGCATGAGGGGGTGCGCATTGCTTTCTGGGTGCTAGCACGCGAGTGCACCAGCGCGCGCACAATTTTTGGCACAGGAGCCAAAAACGGTTAGCCACCACTGGTCTAGGGTCTCCCGCTTGCGGAAAGGGTTGGACTAGAAGATCTTCAAGGTCTCTTCAAACCACTATTCTGAATCGATTGACTTCTAGAGATTCCACACACGCACCGTGTGTGGTTCTTTTTTTTAAATAAGTTTTATTTGTTTTATTAGTATATTTTAAAAAAATCATTTTTCAATCAAACAGTGTGTTGTCTGGGTACAATTGTTTTTACACGATCATAATCAAGGTGTTTACAATAACATGTATCACAATAACATTAATACTGTAGTAACAACAGTATTTTGTTTGCCCATTTTTAACACATTTCCATTTTAACACTTATCCTTTTTACGTCCTTTCCTTCTAAGTTCTGTTTTTATTGTCTAGCCCTCGATAAAATAAGTGCCAGGTTAAAAAGTATTTAGGGTTTTTTTTGGTCCTTAATAGTAAGCGTTAGTCTATCTATTTCTGCACATTCTAATCTAATGTTTTCTGAATTACCTTCTCATCTGTTTGGATCTCATCGCACTTCTGTTGTGGAGCATATACAATTCTAGCTGCAGTTAATTCATGTAAAATCAAATATATAATCTCTTCATCACGTTTTTCTGGTAGAATACCCAATAAAAATATTTCTGGGTTGATATCTCAATGCCATTTTATCATTTTTTTCCAACCAGGTATGTATTTTTATCCAATATTTTTTAACTTATGGATATGTCCACCACATTTGAGTTTCCTGCTTCTGGAAAGGGTTGGACTAGAAGACCTCCAAGGCCCCTTCCAGCTCTATTCTGAATTGATTGACTCCTGGAGATTCCATACACATGTTGTGTGTGGTTCTTAGGACTCCAGGAGAGAAGTGGCGTTCTATTTCTTTGGTGGCTTTCAAAATAATGTGGTCTTCCAAGCTAGGTGAGAACCTATGACCTGTGTTGTACAGGTCAGATTCAAGAAGTGAGGGGAGCCAAATGTCAACTCATTAAATATTTCTATGGTCTTTTTAGAGTTGCCAGCAGAAAGGGAGGGGGAAATGGGGTTGAAAGAGTAGTGTGGCAGCTTGGAAATCGAAAGTGCATTCCATACAAAGTAACTAGGTGACTGAAGTTTCTGCCGCGCAAATATCTAACTGGAGAGCATGATTGTAGCTCTTGGCTATGGATGTGTCCCATTGGAGAATATGAATTACGATATACCCAGGGGGTGGGGGAAAACCAGGGTTATGTACCTCAGAGTCAGCTACACCCAGGCAATGTGGGCATGTTAACTCCCAATAAATCCTTTTGAAGTTTTGGAAGTTTGGCTCGAGACTCATGATTTAATTGGGGTAACTGCCAGAATCCTGATACCCGTATCCTAAACATACGACTCACCTGCCCAGTTCTTCCTCCATGTCATAGTGGTCTTCCACCCTTTCCTGGCGGAAAGTGGACATCCTTGCTTGAAGAGAACTGCCTCCCTCACCTCAATTTGTGACGTTCCTCCTGTCAAGGTGGCACCAAGACCTGGGATAGAGATAAGATGGCAGACCGTTCATATCTTTTGTTCTCCTTTCACAAACTGTTCTTAGAAGCTGTCCTCCACTCCTGCCAGGGGTGGTGAGAAGTTATGGCCCACAGGGTCAAGATGGGAGACCAAGGAGGTGCGGTCAAAGGCCTACCTGTCGTTTGCGACCAGGAGAACCTCCAATCACCACATTGTGGCAGCCATCTTGATTCTGTCGACCGTAGTCGGCCTATTCTTGGCGGCTGAGATTGTCCAGGATCTTCCAAGAAGTCTCAGCCATCTTCATGACACGCCCCTAACTTCTACTCCGGTATCTCTCAACCTTGGTTGCTTTAAGATGGGTGGACTTCAACTCCCAGAATTCATTGCTGAATTCTGGGGGATTCTGGAATTGAAGGCCACCCGTCTTACAAGCAGCCCAGGTTGGGAAGCATGGTTCTGCTCCGTTCTTCCACTACCCCAATTGGCTCAAACCAATCATCCCCTTGCCCAAATTTCCTGCCATTAGCTTTTAATCCCCCTGTGGGCAAGATAACAAGATAATCAGCTTCTGATTATCATTGGTCCAATCTTAGCAAATGACACCCCCCCTCCTCAAATAGCAACAGTCCCCTTTAGGACCCCCTACTCTTCCTTCCACAATCCAAAGGACCTTCCGTCGTTCCTTCGTTCCTTCCTTCCCTTCCCTCACTTCCAGCTTTCTTTTTTCTTTCTTTTTCACTTCAACCACATACTTTTTTTCTTTCCTTCCTTCCTTCCCTCATTTCCATCTTTCTTTTTTTCTTTTTTTCACTTCACCACATGCCTTTCTTCTTTCTTTCTTTTCTTCACTTCACCACATGCCTTTTTCTTTCCTTCCTTCCCTCACTTCCATCTTTTATTTCCCTGTTTTCACTTCACCACATGCCTCCTTCCTTCCCTCCCTTCCTTCCATCTTTCTATTTTTCCTTTTTTTTC